AGCTTAAAGTTCTGTCTCAAAAAAAAAAAAATTAAAGAAGATATTCTCAAGTTTTTAAAAAGAGAGAGAAAGAATTCATCAGTAGCAGACCAGCCCTTTGAGAAATACCAAGGGAAGTTCTTCAGAGTGAAAGGAAAGGAAATTATACAGTAATCTAAGAAATAAGATATTGGTAAGGGTAATTATATATGCAAACATGAAATAGTGTAAATATATGTTTGTTTGTAATTTTGTTTCTCTCCTATCTGATTTAAAGGACAACTGTATAAGGCAATAATTATAAATTTGTACTGATGGGCATAAAATGTATAAAGACATAATTTGAATGATACAAACAGCACAAAGGAAAAAGAGAGAGTGGAACTATGTAAGAATAAAGTTTTTGTATGCTATTGAAATTAAGTTAAAATTAATCTGAAGTACGTTATTGTTATTATACATTAAAATGTTAATTGGAATTCCTAGGATGATCACTAAGAAAATAATTCAAAAAGATACAGTAAACAGAGAACGTAAATGCTACACCAGAGTATATCTATTAACAACAACAAAAAAGACAATAATGGAGAAACAGAGAAATAGAAAAGGCATAAACGTTTAGAAAACAAATAGAAAAGTGGCAGACATAAATCCTGCTTTATCAGTAATTATGTTAAATATATATATGGGCTCAAAGTGCTATATATGGATTAAGTGCTATAATTAAAAGGGGAAGGTTAACAGAATGAATCTAAAACTAAAAATCCCCATCATGACCCAACTATGTTATGTTCACAAGAGACACACTTCAGACCCAAAGACACCAATAGGTTGAAAGTAAGTAGATGGAAAAAAGATAGGCCACATAAACAGAAACTGAAAGAAAGTTGAGAGGTTAAACTAATGTCAGACAAAATTTATTAGACAAAAAAAATGTTGCTGAAGAAAAGATAAAATAAATAGAAATCATAAAAACATAAAAGGACATTTTATAATAACAAAAATTCAATCCATTAAGAAGATATAACAATTATAAGTATATATGCACCTAGCACAAGAACCCCTAAAATATATACAACAGAAACTGACAGAATTGAAGAAAGAAATAAACAATTCATCCATAATCATTGGAGCTATCGCTATCCCACTGCTAACAGTGACTGCAAATGGTTCCTTTTGGTTTCATCAGATGATGAAATGGTTTCATCAAAATATTTTGATGAAAGTATTTTATGATTAGATGATGATGATTGTACAACTTTTTAATATGCTAAAACCCACTTAATTATATACTTTTAAAACACTGGTTTTATGGTACATGAAAGAAAAATATTCTAACCCTGTCTACTCTTTGCCATAAACACCCCATTTGAGGGAGGGGTTCCCATGGTTTACCTTAGTTCTATTACTTAGTTAGTTCTATTACTTAGTTCTATTACTATTCATGCTTTCTATCAGTGTCTAAAAAAAGATGAAGAGGCACATTCTTCCAGCAAATTTCATGAAAACAAATCAAATTCTGTCTCTAGCATAAGGGGCTTGAAGTCACATGGACACAAAGAATCTGCAAATTGCTCTGAATCAACATTTCCCAAGTATGTTCCATAAAGCATCAGTACACATGGGAAATGAATAGGTTGCCAAGAAAAAGGTTCTGTGGTCCATAAAGGTGGGAAACACTAAATTAAATCAAGTTAAACTATTTTTTCTACTAGGACATCTCACCTTCAGTATGCTAGTGTATGTATGTTGCAGAGCATCAGGTACAGAGTGCGGTGAGCACCATTTCACAAATTTATTTTACCACAGGACCCTTTTTTGTTCCATAGGACTAGAAAAAATTGCTCTCGACAGTCCTATTGAAGGTCTCATCTGCAAAGCTACCAAATGGTTAGGTCCCTATTACATGAATAAAGGCAGAATGCAGCTGTCTGCTCAAAAAGTCAAAATGCTCTAGAGCGTCTATGAAGCTGCTTATGAAACTAAGAAGAAATAGGACATAACAAAAGCCTTAAAATCGAAACCATTTGCAGGAAGGAACTGCATCTTAATCATCTTTAAATCCCCAGCACCTAGCATGAGATCTGACCAATAGTTCAATACATTTATGAAATGAATGAATGGACAAACTAGGAATCAAGCTCCAAAGGGATTAATTTGTATTGGATAAATAACTTGTGAAACTCTGCTTCAAGAAGTGGCCGAAGCTGAAAAAATAGAACTGCGTTTCCCACATATCAGATGAATTCTATCCTATGTTGCTAAGACAACTGGAAGAAGGCAGGGATAAAGGCAGCCCACCCCTCAGATATTCAGATGAGGAAGGTTGACTGGCTGGGCTCTGGGTCTGATGCTTCTTCTCATGTTCTTGTCCTCAGGCTGGGATTATTACTGAGGCAAAGTTGAAGGATCTGACACCTCCCATGCCTGTGATGTTCATCAAGGCCATCCCTACAGATAAGCAGGATTGCCACAGAGCCTACTCCTGTCCCGTGTACAAGACTAGTCAGCGGGGACCCACCTACGTGTGGACTTTCAACCTGAAAACTAAGGAGAATCCATCCAAGTGGGTTCTGGCTGGAGTAGCCTTGCTTCTCCAGATTTAGCTTCCTGCAGAGCCACTGAGAAAACAAGGAAAGAGGCTGGGCTGGAGGGACAGGTGGGTGAGGGATGACCACAGAAAATACTTAAAAAGATAGGAAACCATGAGTATCCACACTTATGTAGAATTCCTCTAGGCAACATGGAGAGGAGTGTCTAATGTGAAGCTGAGCTGAAGAAGCATAGGCCTGGGAAGTAGGGAAGAGAATTTTATAACGCTAAACCTTTCCTAATAAAGCAATTTATTCTTCAGCTGTGTTTGGTTCAGGCCTTGTGAACTGCTGAGTCACGAACAAACGTAAATAAACCAAGAGAAACAAGCTGCAAACACTTGAGCCCTGTCCTTGTTACATAGCACTGTCCTGAGCGCTTTCGTCCCCAGCTACCCCATGCAGTCCTGGGCCAGGACTGGCATTACCTGTCAATCAGAATCTCCACTTTAACAAGCTCTCTGGGAAATCTGTATCACACTGTAGTTTTAGAAACACTACCCTGCATGGGGTGGGGGGGAAGGGGGAGAGACAAAATTTTTCTGTAAAGAGCCAAATAGTAAATATAATACTTAAGGATTTGTGGGCCATATCTCTGTATCAACTACTCACCTCTACCACCACAGCCCCAAAGCATCCATAGATAGTAAGTAAATGAAAGAGTGTGGCTGCATTCCAATAGTTTATTTACTAAATCAAGCAATGGGGCTCAGCACCTATAGCTCAGCGGCTAGGGCGCCAGCCACATATACTGGGGTTTGTGGGTTCAAACCCAGCCCAGGCCTGCCAAACAATGGCAATTACAACCAAAAAAATGGCCTGGCATTGTGATGGGTGCCTGTAGTCCCAGCTACTTGGGAGGCTGAGGCAGGATATTGCTCGGGCCCAGGAGTTTGAAGTTGCTATGAGCTATGATGCAACAGCACTCTACCAAGGGTGACATAGTAAGACTCTGCCTTAAAAAAAAAAAAGCAAAAAAAAAAAAAGCAATGGGTCCTGTATTGTTGATCCCTGCTGTACAGAAGGGAAGTATGAATACATGTAGTGTTTATCCTTCATTAATTCACATATCTACTCAATCTGTTTTTATCTAACACATACTATCTGCTATGGAGAAAATGTCAACAAGCAAACGGGTTGTTTTCCTATATCTCTATCATCCTTCAGACCATTTAAGAGGAATCTAAGAAGAAAATCTTCCCTATTGTTTTTTACTCTTAAAAGTTTTCTGTCTTTTTCTCTGGGGAAGAAATTTTCACTAAAAGCCTCCAAGGTCCCATGGTTTTCACAAGTTTTAAAGAGCTCTATGTGGCAAACTGCTTGGCAAGAAAGTCTAAAAGGGCCCAGAATTTCTTCCACTGTCATTATTCCCTCATATTCTCGTAGAGACTTAGTAGTTGGATTACCATTTAGGACAGGGGGGTTCTTAGACATGAGCAGACATCAGAATCCCCTGGAGGGCTTGTTGAAATAAGATTGCTTGATCCTACCCTTCAGTACTTTTTATTCAGTAAGTTTAACAAATTGCCAGCACTGCTGGTCTGGAGGCCATGCTGATATAAAACCTCAAATTCCACTATCCTGCACATTTCTGCTATGAATACAGAATCTAATGCTAATTCCTTCATGATTTTCCTACTTTCTTCCCTGTGGTTTCTGTACCCCCTTCGGTGGGGCCTTACTCCTCATCTTGATGCTATTAAGGGAGTTAACAACTTCCCCCTGGAATCAAAAACTCCAACATGGTCCCTCGTCTCCCATCAACCAGTATTGTACTTTCTGTTGTTTGCCAGTGCCTTACTGTACTGCCCCTAGGTGAATCTGTTTGGGGGGACATAACTCTGTCTTTCTCATTAGCGTTACCCTTGCTCAACTCACCCAGAGCAGTACAGTAAGACCAGGCAAGAGGACCAAGACGGTGGAAGGTAAAAAGCTCACCTCACCATACAAGGGCAGGACACTTTGAGGCATGTGACTTTTGAAGACAAGAAACAATAGAAAGGTTAGAAATATGTGTTAATAAACTTCTGGACAGTATTATAAATTAGACCAATACTATTGATTTCTTCCTAACATCCACAGAAGTACAGCGCTTTGGCAGAAAGTGATGGCCCAAGTGGAGTGCCAGGAGAAAGAAGGGAAGCTTGAGGCAAGGGGGAAGGTAGGCCTGAAGGGAAGCTCCCCTCAAGTGGGAGGTAGGCTCAGGAAAAGGACTCCAAGGACAAACCTACCGGAGATAAAGGAGTACCCAGCACTGGCCAACATCTCACCTGGGCACTAGGTTAGTATTTTCCCATTCCTATTCTGCTAATTATAAACTTGATCAGGCTTATAAGAGCTGATCTTAGAACTCAACTACCATTTAGGGTCTTCTATTAAATAAAGTATTTTGATTATAGTCAACACAAACAGTGAACATTTCAGACACAAATAAGAAGTGATGCTGAAAAATTTATTTCAAAGAAGGGGCACCTGAAGGTAATTTTTCACCCGTATGACAAAGAACACACAAGCTCACTGGCCCGTTATTCTTCTCCCTTTCTCTAACAGGACTGCTCTAGAACCCAGTTCTAAAGGACTGATCTGAGGGTCTTTCTATGAGCAATGATTGTAGCTAATCCACCTAAATGCCTTCCAGATAGCATTTCTAAAATTGGATCTCCAATTGAAGACATTTTTCCATCAGTCCAAAAGGAAAGAGGGGCTGAAATATGAAAAGTATTCTTTCTCCTGATGTACAACCAAGGAATTAACCATCACAAAATCCAATTCAATATATCCTCTAAGTCCAAGACCATGTCCAAGTTCTCTTCTCTCCAATCCATAAAAAAAAAAAAGAGAACAGGGATTTCCTCTCAGAGACACAATTCCTCAAGTGGAGCTGAGTAATTTTTTCAAGGGACTGGGAAACAGACATGGGCTAAGAAAGTCTGGGTACTGGCTATTGAAAGGCCTTCTTTCCTAAGTGGGATTTTTGATGTTTGTCAAGGCTTGAGCTCCAGCTGAAACTTTTCCCACAGTGGGAACATTTATAAGGTTTCTCTCCTGTGTGAACCCTTTGATGTCTATTAAAGTTTGATCTTTGAATAAAACTTTTCTCACAGATGGGGCATTTATAGGGTTTCTCTCCTGTATGGATTTTCTCATGGTGGCGCAATCCTGAGAAGTCACTAAAGCCTTTCCCACAGTAATCGCACTTACAGGGCTTCTCCCCCGTGTGAGTTCTCTGATGCTTCACGAAGTCTGAACTCCGCAGAAAGGCTTTTTTGCAGATGGGGCACTGAAAGTATGTCTCTCCAGTGTGAGTTCTTTGGTGAAAAACAAGCTGAGAATTCCTATAAAAGGTTTTCCCACACTCCCTGCAGGTGGGGAGCTTCTGGGCCATGGGGGCTCTCGGCTGTCCTCTCTGGGAGGCTTCTCTCTTCTCCTCAAGCCACATAGTAGGCGGTTCTGGATGAGAATTAGGCAAATGCTGACCTAATTGTTTCCCAGAATTCCTTTCTTGAGAGGAGAGCTGTCCCCCTGTCCCCTTATCCTGAAGGTTTTCTGGAGCCTCAGGGAGAGTCTCTCCTTCTTCAAAGCATCCTGGCTCATCCTCGTTGAAGAAGCCCCTCAAGGAAGCCTGGGAAGGTGCCCCTCCCGAGGTCTGACAGGAGGCATCCACAGGCTCCTGGTTCCTGTGATTTTCCAAGTTTAGGTTCTCTTTGTCATTCTCTTGTTTACCTCCTAAAAGACAAAGATTTGAGATGGTTCAATGAATATTATGCCTTGATTTCTAACTTCTGTCAAAGACAGGGTCATCACAGAATATTCGTTCTTCTTATGAAGATGGCATCAGTGAGTGAGGAAGAAAATTATCATCTAGACTGAATGCCTGGACTCACCTCACTTACCATGGCTGGTTCAGCTGCCAGAGATGAGAATTTCTCTACAACACAGGAGGGCCCACAGAGTGCGTTTCCTCTAACCCCTCCATTAATAAGTAGCATGCAATCAAAGGTCCAGGTAAAAAAAAGCATTTTATATGCAAGTATTGCTTTTAAACTAATTTTTATGTGATTATATGAAAGGTAAATATGATCAATAAACAAATTCTGAAGAGAAAGAAAAATATCCAGAAGAAAACCAAATCAACCTCAATCTTACTACCCAGAGGCAACAACTTTGAGAATACATCTCCTTCTCTCTTTTTAATTAAACCCTGCATGTTGCATGTATATGCTATTTTCCAACATAATTGATATCATATTGTATATACAGTTCTAGATCCAGCTACGTAGCATTTAAGTTGTAAATGGTATTGATCAATTTAACATGGATCCTCCCATTCATAAGAAACATAAAAATTCATAAAATGCAATAATGTGTAATTTTACTGTGGATGCAATGCAGTGAGGCTATATAAAGTGAACCTCTCCTTCTATCTTTGAAGTAAGCACTTTTACATGTGCTTCACTAACTCATATTCACAGTTCAAAGTCTGTTTTTCTCATCATAACTTAGGTTTTTGGTTATCACTATTTAATGATGCATATAATAAAGATTTTTATGTTGGTGGTAGAATTTTCAGCCTTTATAAATTATTTTATCCCTATACATCTATCCCTATTGTTTCATATACTAGTTTAAGACACTAATTATCTGCCAGAGATCTAGGCATGTGCTACAGAACTAGACCTTAATTTGTTAATTCACACATAGCCTTAGAACATATTTCTCACAAATAGCAAAGCTACTTTCTCTTGTTTTTAAAGAAGCCTTTATAAATATCATTTTGAAGAATTGAGTAACGGCCCATCATAAAGATGTCATATTAAATAGATAATTTACTTCAGAATTCCCTTGCCCAGCAGCACCTGTGGCTCAGTGGTAGGGCACCAGCCCCATATACCTAGGGAGGCGGGTTTGAACCCGGTCCTGGCCAAACTGCAACAAAAAATAGCTGGGCATTGTGGCAGGCACCTATAGTGCCAGCTACTCGGGAGGCTGAGGCAAGAAAACAGCCTAAGCCGAGGGGTTGGAAGTTGCTGTGAGCTATGACACCACAGCACTCTACCAAGAGCGACAAAGTGAAACTGTCTCAAAAAAAAGAAGAATTCCCTTGCCCTGGAAATCTAAGTTATTTATTGTGTTTTTACTACTATAAATAATGCTGTGATAAACATTTTTCTTCATAAGTTTTCTTCATACATTTCTAATCAATACCTTAAACAGAAGCAGAATTACTGTGTCAACAGGCATAAATATTAGGGCTCTTGACACCTACTGGCAACCCAATTTCCAGAGTGGCTCTGCCATCCTCTGGTATGTGAAACTGGGCAGTGGGAAAAGGCACGTATTCAATATTAAGTACTGAAGTACATTCAATGCTTAAATATTGAATTTTTAAAAAATATATGCCATTTAGGTGAGTGAAAAATGGTTTTTCTTTGTTTTAAATTTTAATTCATAAGTTATGAAAGGATGATCTTTTTCACATTTACAAGCTATTTTTCATTTAAAAATTGCTGCCCATTTTTTAATGGGAAGGTCTTTTTTTCTCACCAACTTGCTTTTAACTCTTTTTATGTTAATAAAACAAATCATTTGTCTCTCATGTTCATGAAAAATATTCTGCACCAATTCAGTTACCTTAATTTGTTTGGGGTTAGTTTCATACATGTGAGTTGTGTGTGTGTGTGAGGGGGTCCTTTTTAAATATACTCAAGTCCATTAATCTTTTCCTTACTGATTTTTCCCATCACTTTTATACTTCTAAATCTTCCTCACCAGGATACAATTTGAGTATCTACTTATTTTCTTCACTTTATTTACATAGTATATCTCTTTTTAACCTATTTCCAACTTATTTTGATACATAACATAATAAAATCTCAGTTGACTCCTTTTCCCAAAGAGCCTTCCTTCCCAGCCCTACTTACTGTAATGGACTCATGATGTTTCTCCTCCTTTAGCACACCTGAAATCCTTATGTAGACCAGATTGTCTTTCAAGGTTCCCTTTTCTGGTCCACTCATCTGTGTATCTATTTTCTGTTTAAAATTTTACTATTTTACAGGTTCTCATTCTATTGCCCAGGCTAGAGTACCGTGGCACAATCATAGCTCACTGTAACCTTCAACTCTTGGGCTCACTGTAACCTTATAACCAATGTAATTGAATATACCTCCCCCACCTCCCCCTACCATCTCCAATTTAAGAACAGGGAGTCAGGCTCGGCGCC